ACAGCTAGAAAAATATGAGTGGCATAGGAAACACAACCAAGAAGAAACCACCCATTTCCATGGGAGAAGCTGCCCTCACACTGAATGACACCCCCCTTGGGGAAGGCGATAAAGCATGGGTTTGCCCAGCTCAGGCTTTGGTGACAGAATGACTAGGCCCCACCACTGGCTCTGCATGCACTTCTGGGTAACCAATGCCATTCCCCATGTAAGTGGGGATGAAACCGCCTATTCTGCACAAAACGGAACAAGGCCCAGCAATAATAACCCAGCAAACATCTTAGCTTGAAGTCTGGTCGCTACTTGTTCTTGTTTTTTCATGAATTCTAAAACCTCTTTCCAAGAATATATGTAGCGTACCTAACATGACATCTGGTTTGTGATGGCACTGAATAATTGATAACCAATCATCATTATTCATCCCATCACCACCGCCCTTGCTAGACATCAGGCCCTGAGGATACAAAGATGAACACAGCACAGGTCTGTTCCTCAAGGAGCTCTCAGTCCAGAGGGGACACAGAAGTCCACGCCAAGTGCCAAGAACTTGAAGTCAGTGCCAAAGAGAGCTCTGTGGGCCTCGCAGGAAGGAGGCTGGGGTTTCCTGTGCTCCAGGCCTAAGCCTCCAGGCAAGTACCATCTCTGCACCCAGAAGCACTGCCACCGCTGCTTAAAACTCCTCCTCAGGAGTCACTCTGGAATGATATATCTTTGGTGTGGTTCCTGAAAATAGCCAACGTCACTGGGCTAAGTTCAGTGAAAAACCAAACTCACTGCCATTGAGTTGATTCCAATTCACAGTGACCCTCATTGGGTTTCCAAGGCTATACATCCTCACAGAAGCAGACTGCTCATCTTTCTTCTCTGGAGCGGCTTGTGGGTTCAAACTACCAACCTTTTGGTTAGCAACCACATGCCTTAACTACCACACTACCAGAGCTCCTAAGTCTGGTGAAAAGGGAGTAAAATCTCTTTGGTCACCAGGCTGGGATGAGTATAAAGCAGAGTTAGATGTAATGGGGGAGTGGAGGGTCAAAAAGGGCCCCTGCCAGCAGCTCTGAAAGGATCCCCAAGGATCACAGGTTGTCCAAGCTATCAAGAACCCTGGGGCAATTAGTGTAACTGTGGCCTGAGGCAGGGACCTCTCAAGGGCATCTCCAACAAAGATATTCTGAGCAAATGAAAGTAGGAAACAACAGCACCCAACCAACCAGAGCTGATTACTGAAGCGCTCACTTCATGCCAGCCCCATGCTGATATGTTTGTACATCTGTGTCAATCTTCACGCCTTCCTTGGGTAGATGTAATTGTCCCCATTTTACAGATGAGCAAACAGACTCAAAGAGATTCTTATAACTCACCCAGCTGGGGCCACAAATTATTTACTGGGAGAGCTGGGATTTAAATTCAAGTCTGTCTCGCTATAAAGCCCACACTCTCAGCTACTAAGCTCTATCACCTTTTTCACTTGCCCAGCTCCCCCTGCCCCACCCCAAGGGACCCACTGCAGAAGAAATCCTCATTTGGACACAAATGTGCAAGCATTTTTTATCAGAAAAAAATAGCATTCTCTTCACAAAGGAGTATGAGCAAAGTAGTGTGTGAGCTCTGTGGGGGTAGCTCTATGATGCCTCAGATGTGGTCTCTGGCCTCAAGGAGCTTCCAGGCCAGCAGGCAGACAGGTCCACACATGCAACTCTGAGACAAGGTCACGGTAGTACCTGCTATAAGGGAGGCACTCAGGGCTTTGGGAATTCAGAGAGAGTTTGCTTGTGGGTAAGCAGGGTGGGGAGAACAGAGTGACTTTACAGAGAAGGTGGCATTTTAACCAGTCTTGGGCCATAGTGGAGTTGCACAGGCAGGGTTGGGTGGGGAGGAAGCAGTGTGAGCCTGCTGAGGGTATTAACCTGTAGGCCATGTGGGGGTAGGGAGGCAGTATGAACAGAAGTGACCAGACAAGCCCAAAATGATAGGCTTTAAATGGCCAGCTGAGACTGGAGGAAAAATATTGAATGTTTGAAAGAAACAGGGAGAACGTAAAGCCCAAGAAACTAGCTAAGGGGCTTCTGTAAGATTACAAGCAATAAGTAAGAAAGGCTAAAAGAGTGGGCAAGGTTGCCAGAAAAGCAAATGGAATAGTGATGGTTTTCAATCTTGTTTCTCCAACGCACCTGAAACAAGGCATCAATGAAGCTGGTGCAATGCCAGGGGGGAACCGAGGTACCAGGCCCTGGAAGCTGGGAAGAAACCTTCCGGATTGTGGTAAGGGGATATGTACTACATGAAATGATCACCTACTTGACTCCTGCATAGCATCTGCAGGACTGTCTCACCATGCCTCCAGTCACATCTATTCTCTGAGCAACACCATGGACCAAGATGGCTCTAGGAGCTGGGGACACAACTACAAGACAGACATGACCCCCAAATCAGGGAGTTTACCTTCTGGTGAGAGCCCCAAAAGCCACAGAGAAGGCAGGATCAACAGAATTAGGTAACTGGCTGGGTGTGGTAGTCTGGGGAGACGGAGAAGTGCTCCAAGCTGTCAGACCTGGCTAACCAGAAGAACAGGGGAACCAGTAACAGGGAAAGGTGACCAAGGGAGGAGAACTGGCAAGAATGTGCAGAGTTCAGTTTTGGTCACACTGAAACCAATGTAATTAATGTCTTTGGTTGTCCTCTTTATATATTGAGAACTCACAGAATTTGTGAGAGGAGAATAAAGCCAGGGCCATAGAACTGCAAGCGCTTAGGCTTGGCCTGAGGGTTCCAAGACCCAAAGGAATAGGGCTGGGGAAAGCGCTGGCTCCAGAGTCAGGCAGCTTGTGTTCCACACTGAATGCTGTAAGTTACTAACCATCTAACCCTAGGCAAATTGCTTTGCTTATCTGAGTTCTTGTTACTTGCAAAATGCAGATGAAAATGTCCTCCTTGTCCACTCCACTGGGTGGTTGTGAAGAACCTGGTAGAAATTTAGAATTTGTAACCAAACCAACCAGTTCCCATCAAGTCGACGCTGACTCATGGCTACCCTGTGTGTGTCACAGTAGAGCTATGCTCCACAGGGTTTCAATGGCTAGTGATCTTTAAGAAGAACACCAGGCCTTTCTTCCAAGGAGCTTCTGGGTGGACTCAAACCTCTAACGTTCCAATTAGCAGCCAAGTGTGTTAACCTCTTGCACACCCAGAGATTCTAGAATTTGTAAAGGGCTACATAAATAAAAAAGGGTCTGGCCCCAAATCCAAAGCCCTCTTCAGGAAAGCCAAGACTCAAAACAGGGACATGACTTGCCTAGGATCACACAATGGTTACTAGGAAACCACCCATCTCTGGTGCCTACACCCCTCTCTCATACACCCTCTGTCATGCTTCTTCTGGTACTTGCTGGCAGAGCTTTCTGTGGAACGCTGAGCCTTTGTTGGGGCCATCTCAGACAAGACCCTCAGGGATATTACAGATTGAACAGTGTCACCCAAAAACGTGTGCTGTAAATCCTAGAGCCTCTACATGTGGATCCTACCACATGTATAAGGAAGAAATGCAGAAGAACTGATGTTTTTGAATTTTGGTGTTGGCAAAGAATATTGAAGGTACCATGGACTGCTAGAATGAACAAATCTGTCTTGGAGGAGGTACAGCCAGAATGTTATTTAGAAGTGAGAATGGCCAGATTTCGTCTCTCCTACTTTGATCATGTTGTCAAAAGGAACCAGGGCTTAGAGAAGGATATCATGCTGGGTAAATGGAGGGTCAGTGAAATAGAGGAAGACCCTCAATGGGATGGATTGACACAGGGGATGCAACGATGGGCTCAAGCATAGCAACAATTGTAAGGATGGTGCAGGACTGGGCAGTGTTTTGTTCTGCTATACATAAGGCTGCTATGAGTCAGGACCGACTCCACACACCTAACACCAAGAAGAACATACATGTAGAGGCAATTTCATTTGAGAAGAGGATTTTCTTTGTTATGTTAATAAGGCCATATCAGTATAGAGTGTGTTTTTTTTCACTGCCGTCGGGTCATTTCTGACTCATAGCAACCCCTCCTTGGGTTTCCAAGGCAGTATCTCTACAGAAGTAGGATTCCCCAACCTTCCTTCCAAGGAGTGGCTGGTGGGTTTGAACTGCCAGCCTTCTGGTTAGCAGTCAAGTGCCGTAGGCACTATACCACAAGAGCTCCCAGAGTGTGTCTTAAGCAATCTTTTTTGAGATACAAAAGGAACAGATTGGGCACAGAAGCAAAGACAAACACGGAAGACAGATGCCACATGAAAATCATCAAGGAACTGAGGACCAGAAGCTGAAAGAGACAGAGATCTTCCCCCTAAAGCTGATGGAGAGTCCTAGACTTGGTGCCCTAAATTTAGCCTTTTAGCCTCTCCAACTGTGAGAAAATAAATTTCTACTCATGAGAGCCACCCACCTGTGGGTTTGCTGTCACAGCAGCACTAAGATAGCCCCCCATCACACCCTCAACCCAGCAGCCTGTTGCTCACACAGCACAGGCAAGACCAGCCTCTGCCAAACATGGTCCAGCCCAGGTGGGAGACAAAGCAGGAGGCCCACAGCCACTAGATCCCTCTGGAGCCCCACACAGGCCAGGCTGGCATCTAGAAAATGAGAGACACCCAGTCTGAGCATGGGCTCCAAGGAGGTTTATTAGTATCCACAGTAGGGAGCTCTGGGATCTTGCCCCAGATAAGGGACTGTGAGCATCTGGGAGGGGAGGCAAGGCATCTGCAGACTACAGGCCCCAATAGGCCTGGGCCCATGTAGACAGCAATGTTTCTGCTTCAAGCACAGCCAGTTCACACTCCCAGCTCCTCTAGGTCTCCTGCTGAATAGGCAGACTTGTCCTCTTCACAGGGAAATGAGAGTCACAGACTTGAATACCCCAGAAATCTAGACGCAGGCCCTCTCAGCCAGCATCAGCAACCCCGGGTTCGGCAGTCAGCCCCACCCTTGCCACCACAGTCTCACCCCTAGAACCTGATGACTAGAGTCTGGAATGGACAAATGCTATCAGGTTCTCCAGCTGCTTCTTCAGGTGCTGCTCATCTCCGTTGTTCTCGATGACCCAGTCAAAGTGTCCAAAGTCGTCCAGGCCACATTCTGACTCAGCATCGTCCACTCCTGTGCAGAAGGCATGGCAAGGTCAGGCCCATCCCTCTGAACAAACGCACAACAGAGAGGCCCTCCCTGTTCCTCTCCTCCACCAGCCCAGAGCCAAAGTCCATGCCCTCTAGAGGGCAATCCCCATTCCCAGAAATACTGTGAAGGCAGGTTCAGCAGTCCATAGCCACCCACAGCCACCGGAGGACCCAGAAGGTCTCTGCTGACTTAACTGGCCACTGCCTGCAGAGGGAGATCGTTATTGTTACCTGCCAACCAGTTGGCCCCTGGGCAACTCCAGGTACAAAGGACTGGACTGTTGTGATCCACAGGGTTTTCACTGGCTGACTGTTCAGAGGTAAACACCAAGCCTTTCTTCCTAGTCTACTTCTGTCTGGAAGCTCCGCTGAAACCTGTTCAGCATCACAGCAACATGCAACAGAGGGCAGGTTAGGCCATCTAAAACCACAAACCACAAACCAAACAAACTCACTGCCATCAAGTCGATTCCAATTCATAGCAACCCCCTTTGGGTTTCTGAGGCAGTAAATCTTTACGGAAGTAGATCGCCCAGTCTTCCTTCTGCAGAGTGGCTGGTGGGTTTAAACTGTCAACCTTCTGGTTAACACTCAGATGCCTTATGCACTATGCCACCAGAGCTCCTTGTTTAAATCTAAAACCACAGACAACCCAAAAGAGCATTGCATGTTCATTTTATGAAGCTGGTTATGTCGATTTCTATTCCTAAATCTGATTCAGTCCTTGCAGAAAAAAGTGTGTGCAATGGCTAGAAGCAGAGGATCAAAAGTCCCAGGAACACCTCTCCCTCACTTTGTGACCCTAGGAAACAGACTTAGCCTTTCTAAGCTGTTGGTGCACTGGTTAAAGATTTGGCTGCTAATCAAAAGGTCAGTGGTTTGAACCCACCAGCTGCTCCATGGTGGAAAGATGTGGCAGTCTGCTTCCATAAAGATTACAGCCTTGGAAACCCTATGGGAGGAGTTCTACTCTGTCTTATAGGATCGCTAAGTCAGAATTGACTCAATGGCAGTGGGTTGGTGTGGTAGTTAAGTTTGTGTGTCAACTTGGCTGGGCCTGGTTGAGTGGCTGGACAACTGGATGTAGTATTCCCCATGATGAGACTGGTAATCAACTCCATGGTGGAATCTACTGTGAGCAGTTGAGTAGCTGCCTTAGGGATGTGGTCTGCTTCCTGTATATAAGAAGCCTTGGAGAACGGTCTGTAGCTTATAGCATGCTTGGACCCTGCATGTAGCCATGTCGTTTGTTCAGCAGCCTGCCATGCTCTGCCACTCTTGGGACTTTTGATGGACTTGAATCAATGACCTGCCATGTGGTTTGGTAACACTGGGACTGTGCCTTTTCACTTGTCAATCTTGGGTTTGTCAGTCTCAGCAGCCAGCAGCTGTCTGAGTAAAGAAAAGCCTCTAGCTTCAGTGGGCCAGAAGCAGGAGGCAGAGCTGAAGCCCAAGATTGAGGGGCTTTCACCCAGCCCCTAGAACCTGGTACTTTGAACTCTGACTTAAAGCCTCCAAACTGTTAGAGAATAAACTCCTGTTTGTTCAAGCCATCCCATTTGTGGTATTTTCCTGTCAGAGTGGCACTAGGTAACCAAAATACAGTTGGGCTTGATTTGGTCCTCATCTAACAATCGACACTGGTAATAACAGCATCTACCTGATGGTTCTGGTGGATGATAAAGTGAGATAATGCCTCAGGTTGGCAGTGAGTGCCCAGGAGGCAAGCAGCATTAGGAGTGGTCATGCCCACTAGGTCTCCTAGGACAGCAAGGAGGCCGGGCTGTGCCTCTGAATTGCCCACAGAGCAGATCCTGGCCATGTACCATGACAGCTGTCTAGGAGAACTGCTCTCACAAACCTGCTACTATGTTAATCACACAGCAGTGATACTTGTCAGGCCTGCCTTCTGACCACTGCCAGCCCCCACAAGGCTGGAAAGCAGAGGTGAAGGATCAAGGAGGTGGGTACAGTCGGAACTCCAGAGAAGCCTGCCAGCCCAGGTAACAGGCCCAGGCCAAGGTGAGCTATGCTTCTCAAGGACATCCTCCCCTATCCGACTCCCTAATCTGGAGCCCAGGCCTCCGATTCCACTTCATAATCCCTCACTCTTACCCCCACCTAGGCATGCCAGGGAGAGAGCAGGAGACCCAGAACACAGGGTGAACTGTACCCTACAGGTGGGGTGGCCGACCTGTGGGCCAAGCCCTGGCGGGTAAAGGTTGTGAGCAGCCTACCTGGTGTGAACACCCAGCCACGCTGCTGTCGGCTCTGCTCCGATGCCACCATGCGGACCACCTGCGTCGCTGCCCCATAGGCCTCCTGAAACCACTGGATGTCAGATATCCGCCGTGTGTCACTCACCAGCTGCAGGGAGGAGCACAGACAGGTGACCAACAGAACACGGTGCAGGGAGCAGCAGGACAGGATGTGGGGGTGAGAGGAGGGGCAGATGTAGCCCTGCTGTGAACCAGCAGACACACAGGGGACCACAGTCCACAGCAGCAGTCCCCAGCCCCAGCTACTTGGACAAAGTCCCCTCTTCCCTCTAGGCAGGGCTCTGATCGCTGCAACTGTATCTTGTTCTGCCCACCCTCTGCTGAGGACATGAGCATATTCTGTGCATGGATCAGTCCTCACTGTGTTCAAGGAGAGGCCTCAGGCTCTGGATTCAGAAGAGTTAGTCCAACCCGCTCACTGTACACATGGGTAAACTGAAGTCAAAAATCAAAAACAGCCTAACTGGACCTCAACTACCAGCACCTTTTAAAACATGTAGGTCTGATTTTTGTCATTCTCTTGCTCTAAACCTCTCAAAGGTTTCTCATCTTTCTAAGAATATAATCCAAAACTCTCACTCTGGTTGATGAGGCCCTATGAGATCTGGTATCTCATATCCCATCCTTGACCTTCACTCACTCTGCCACAGCCAACTGGCCTCCTTGCTCTTTGTCAAGGGCACCAACCACACCCCCTCCTTGGGGCCTTTGTACATGCTACTGCCTCTGCCCACCACTCGTCTGTCAGTTTGTCCTCCTGTGGTGGCAGGGGTGTTGCTGTGATTCTGGAAGATTTGCTACCAGTATATCAAATGCCAGCAGGGTCACCCATGATGGACAGGTTTCAGTAGAACTTCCTGAATTCCATACAGTGGCTGCAACAATGGGCTCAAACATTGTGAGGATGGCACAGGACTGGACAGTGTTTTGCTCAGTTGTACACAGAATCGCTGAGTTGGCATTAACTCAACAGCACCTAACAACAACCCCATCTTCCTGCATCATCACAAGCTAAGTTCCCTCACTGCACGGCTGTCTCTGCTCAAACATCACCTCCTCAGAGAGGGCTTCCTTGACCACCCTGGCTCCCGTCCTGTCCCTCTCAATCTTGATATGCAATTTGTGTTCCTCTTGACTCTAATATGCTCTGAAATCATCTTTATTTTTTATTGTTTATTGTCTGACTGCCCTGCCGGAGTCAGCTCCATGAGGGAAACACTTTATCTCATTCACTGCTGCATCCCTGGCCCCTAGAACAGTGACTGACACATATATAATAACCATTTGGCAGTATGTGTTCAATCAACTAATCAAAAAGACTTGCTGTTCTCTCATCAATGCTACTGACATGTTCATTTACCCAATTAGTAAACAAGCAGTATCTCAAGCATTTACTGTGTGTTAGGCACTGTGCTAGGTTCTGGGGATAGAGTTGTGAGCAAAACAGGCCTAGCCCCTGCCCTCATGGAGCTTATGGTCTAGTGGGAGAGATGCTAAACCAGCAGCCCCCAAACAACCATGCAATCTCTGTATCTACAAGCATCTCAACCTTAGCTTGGCCAAAACAGAGCTCCTGATTTTCTCCCAAACCTGCTCCTCCCACTCCTTCCCTAGCTCAGAAAATGACAACTCCGTCTGTCCAGCTGTTCAGACAAAATCTTTTTCTTCACACCCCCCCCCCCCCATAGCCAATCCTATCATCAAATCCTATTGGCTCTATCATAAAAATCTCTGCGGAATCCAGCCACTTCTCTCCATCCTGCCATACCCTGAGCTGAGCCAGTCATTTGGCCTGCGCTATGGAAACAGCCTCCGCCTGGCCCCTCTGCTTCTACCTTTGCCCTCCACTCAGCAACCAGGGCAATCCTTTGAAATCTTAAATAAGAGCATGGAAAAATCTGTTGTGTAGATTCTGAAAAATGCATACACTTATGTAATCTAAAGCCTTAAGAAGATATAGAACATTACCATTCCAGAAAGTTCCTTCATTTCCCTTCCCAGTTGATCTCTGCCCTCACTCACTAAGCAAACATCCATCTGTTTTTTGTTTTGTTTTTTTCTTTTAACCAAAGATTAGTTTGAGCTATTCTAGAATTTCATCGACATGACGTTATATAATATTTACTCATTTGTATAAGTATACAGTACAGTGTGTTTTTGAGAGCTGTTTGTGTTCTTCAGTTTATCTGTTTGTTGCTTTTTATTGCTGAAGGCTGAATGAATAGACTGCAATTTATTTAACCAGTCTTGCACTGATGATACCTGTGTTGGTTTCAATCTCTGGCTATTATCAATAAAATTGCTATTTAAAAAAAAAAAAAAAAAGAACATGAAAAATCCTTCTAAATGTCCTGTCTGATCTGACCTCAGATCCCACCACTCCCCACTCACGCTGCTCCTCAAAACTGCCAGGCACACTCTGCATCGGGGCCTTTGCACTCACTGCTCCTTCTTTCTGGAAAGATCTTTCCCCAAATATCCATTCAGCTCACCTCCTCACTTCCTTCAAATGTCTTAGTACCATAGGCCTTCCTTGTCACCCTTAGTAAAACAGCAACCCCTCTCCAGCCCTCCTCCCACCCTTAGCCTACTTCCTTTGCTCTTCAGTATTTACCTCCACCCAATATATCCCTGGGTGATAAAAAAAGTTAAGCACTCGGCTACTAACTGAAAGGTTGGCAGTTCAAATCCACACAAAGGCACTTTGGAAGAAAGGTCTAGCAATCTACTCCCTGAAAAGGCCACAGCCATTGAAAACCTTATGGACCTCAGTTCTACTGTGACACACATCAGGTCACTATGAGTCGGAATGGACTCAACAGCAATCGGTTGGTTGATTAACATATTCTATATTTATTTACTTAGTGCCTGTCTCCCCAACCCCATCCCCAACTATTAATGCAAGTTTCCCAAGGGCAGGGGCTTTACCACATTCACACACAGACGTATCCCCAGATCCTAGAACCAGACCTGGCACAACACTCAGTCAATATTTACTGTCAGAATGAATAAGGAAGGAAAAGGGCAGGGTGCTATGGGAGCATGCCACAAGGAGCACTGCTTAAGACTTGGGTATCAGGGAAGGCTTTCCTGAGGAGATGACATCTAAGCTGAGCTTAAATGTAAAAAAGGAAGAAAGAGCAGTTCGGGCAGGGAGAAGAACACATGCAAAGGCCCTATTTTCAGAAGGAGTTTGATTTATTTGAGGAACTGAGAAAAGACCGGCACAGTTGTAGCTCTAGGAGTAAAGAAGGAAACAGGGTAGCAGGAGCCGGATCATACAAAGCCCAGAAGATTTTGATTTTCTTCATAAGAACAATGGGAAGCCATCAAAAGGTTCTAAGCAGAGCAGTGATATGACTTGGTCACACTCACTGCTGTGTGGTAGATGGATCAATGGGTTATAGGCAGCAAGAGTAGAAGCCGGGGACCAGCATGGAAGCACCTGCATTGGCCCAGGTGACAGAAGGTGGTGGCTTGGACCAGGTGGTAGCAGCGTAGGTGGAAAGAAACAGACACATTTGAGATACATTTGAGGAAAAGGCTTAGGGAAACTATTTTCTTAATTTTCTTAATGCTGGCCATTGGGGTCCTCTTACCCAGATGGGCTGGGAGATGCCCTCCACAATCTTCCTGCAGAAAAAGCCTGGGTCGGCCTGGCGCTTCTCCTCTCCCCAGCGGATCATGTCCTTCCTATAGGCCTCCTTGTAGGTGCTGGCGTCCAGGAGCCTCTGGAAGTCCAGGCCATGCTCCTGCCCAAAGCATATTCTTCATCACCAGTCTCTCAACCCCTCTGTGTGTTCTAAGACAGGAGGAGACAATCCCTGTCCTCCCCTATCCCAAGGGCCAATACAAGGACCGATGAGGTTTCAGCCAGGACAGAGGCTTGCAAAGGAGAAAGCCCCAGAAACTAAAAATCCCAATCATCCTGAACCGGAGGAAAGGCCTAGGATAATCCAGAACTTATTTCAATTTGTCTTTGAAATATGTGATGTGGTTTTCTCTTTTGCAACAGTTTTGCCTTCCCAATTAACTCTGGCTTAAACTAATCCTGAAATTAGTTTGCATTCCCTGGGCACAAGCTTAGCCTTCAACTAGAGGGGGAAATCTGAAAAAACTCTGTTCCATATCTTCCCACTACCTTTCTGGCATCAATTACCACTATCCAAAAATCCCGAAGATTTTTCTTCCTTCTCTCTCTCCTCTCTCCCTCATCCCCTTCCTCAGCCCCAAAGTCCTGGCACCTTCGCAAGGAACACAGGTGGCACAGTGGGTAAGGCATTTGGCTGCTAACCAGAAGGTCAACAGTTCAAACTCACCAGCTGCTCCATGGGAGGAAGATGAGGCAATCTACTTCCGTAAAGATTTATAGCCTTGGAAACTCAATGGGGGTCACTGTGAGTTGGAATCAACTCATTGGCCGTGGATTTGGTTTGGGGCTTTTGCTGCAACAGTGTCAGTTCTTCAGCACTTCTGGCACTCTGTGGGCCTCCCACTTCCAGGGGACTCCTCGGGCAGGCAGAGAAGTTGCTCTGACCACCCTGGGGAACAGCTTCCAGACCTGGCCTCCCTTCTCCAGGGACACTGACAAGCAGGGGTCTGGCTCTGTAGGGCTGGAGTGGGGCCGAATCTGGGAACTTTGGAAGTAGACCAGTGGTTTCAAACTGTTCCTCAGAGCCCTGGGGTTCCTCAGAGGTGCTCAGGCCTCACTGAGAAGGTTGACGGGCCTCTTACCCTCTCTCTTTCCCTCCCTCTGCCCATTCAGAGTAGCTCCCAGTCTGTCTACTGGATATAAGGGGCTTAGGTATCCAATTTTATTTGGAAAATATTCTCACTAAAAATATTGAAAACCACTAAGCCTACTTATCTCCACAATCCCCTCAGGCTCCAGCAGGCTGCCATCCTGGGAATGGGTCTGTTTAGCTAGTGAGAGAAAACCCAACAGGACAGGAGAATGCTTCCCACAGAGGGGGATGGACCCCAGAAGGCCAGCCATAGGCCAGCTGACCAAGGGGCCTGATATCTATGCTGACCATGAGTCCCTGCAATGGCACAAAAGACAGAAACAAAGGTGACGAGAGGACTCCTCCCTGTGTGGGAAGTTGATCTTGCCCTCCAGGTTTCCTTTATGAAACCTAAGGGTCTAAGGTCCAGTTGGAAGAGTTCCTATTTATACATATTTCAAATTTTTTGAACCATTCATATGGTTTAAAATTCAAAAGATACACACCCATTTACAATGAAAAATCTCTCTCATCTCTCTCTGTTCTCCAGCCTCCAGTTTCCATCCCTGAAAACAACCAATGTTGCATTCTCTACTGTCCTCCCAAAGTATTTACCCATCCCAAGCATCCGGAAGAGCACCTAATATAATGAGGACACCCCGTATCTGTTGAATGAATATAATTTTTCCCCTTTTTTCAATACAAATGTAGCAGTCTATTCATACCATTCTACCTCTTGGTTCCTGTGGGAGGTTTTGTTTGCTTATTTGTTTGTTCCATTTTACAATCTATCTTGACAATGTGGGTACATTTCTAAGGAGAGAATTCCAAGAGTTGTGTCAGGCCAGTTTGGGTGATGAGGAGGTAGTCACGTGAAGTGTCACATTTTTTGAGTAAGTGGATACGTGTAGACCCTTTCTAATTATACCACATCAGCAGCCACCAGCTCAAAACTACAGCCTTCCCTGGACATACTTTCTTAAATCATCGAGGGAGATGACCTGACCTGAGTGAGACCGGGGAAAGACGCCTGAGCTGAAAATGCCCTAGAGAGGTGAACTCACAGAAAATCAGGAGCTGGCCAACCCCTGCTAGCAGTGGTCACTGGGACCATGCCAGTGGCTCAAGTGGCAGCCACAGCAACCAAAGGCCAGAAGCTGGGCTCCTCCCGACCCAGCAGATTCCACAGAACCACTACTTACCTGCGCGTACTGCTCCTTGAGTGGCCCAGAGAGCCGGAGGACAGCACAGACGTCAGCACCAAGTCTGTGGAACAAGGAGATCAGTTAATCTAGAGCTTCCAGGTCCCAGAATAGAAGTTCAGAAGCCTGAGCTGATATTCCATTTCTGCTACTGGTATCTACAGGACTCTGTCAGGTCTTAACTATCCTGATCCAATTTCTTCATCTATAAAATGGGGTAACAGGTACTGTCCTGTCTCCCTCACAGGATTATTATGAAACTCATATGAACGGGAAAGAGCACTGAAATTATTAACAGGTAAAATAGCTAATAACCAAAAACTAAACCCACTGCCATTGAGTCAATTCCAACTCACAGTGACCCCCATGGGGTTTTCAAGGTGGTAAATCTTTACAAAAGCAGATTGCCCCTCTTTTTTCCATGGAGCAGCTGGTGGGTTTGAACCACCAACTTTTGTGGCAGCCAAATACCTTAACCACTATACCACCAGAGCTCTTTAAAACACCTAATAGGTGATAAAATTATAATTACAGTCGACATTCAGGCCTGATGATACCCTGGCTGAACCTGGTGACTGCAGGGCCCCTAAACTAGTTCTCTCACAGCCAGAAATACCTCAGTCTCAACTGCCTTGGTCCCTGACATAAAGAATTCACTCAATCAGTTAATCCATTTACTCAACCAAATGTATTTTGGGTATTAAATTTAGAACCCACCACCCGTCTTTGGTTTATCATAATGGCCTGTGTGTCATTGTGATGCTGGAAGTAATGCCACTGGAATTTCAAATAAGAGTAGGGTCACCTAAGGTGGGCAGGTTTTAGCAGAGCTTCCAGACTAAAACAGACTAGGAAAAAAGCTCTAGCAATCTACTTCCAAAAATCAGCCAATGGAAACAGTATGGATCACAACAGAATGTTATTGAATAGAGTGCCAGGAGACGAGCCCTAAGGTTGGAGGGCTGTTAAAATACAACTGGGGAAGCATTGCCTGCTCAGAGCACAGTCAGCCTTAATGATGTGGATAGAGTAAAGCCTTTAGGACCTTCATCTGCTAATATACTGTGATTCAGAGTGAGGAGCTGTTGTTGTTATGTGCCATTGAGTCCGACCCGACTCATAGTGACCCCTCCTTGGGTTTCCAAGGCAGTATCACTACGGAAGTAGATTGCCCCATCTTC